GAACCGGTCTGTATGTGGGATCCGAACCCTCGGCGGGAGCGCTGCCGTGCTCCCAAGCGGCGCACTGTAGCAGTGCGCCACCGGGCCGGCCCGCAAAACGGATTTTTTTATTGTCTTTAGACCAAAGCTATTCAGTTATCACTAGCCACATATTGCTGTAGAGCACTTAACAATAAGACTAGTTCAAGTTGACATGTGTTTCAAGCATAAAATATGCACAGGTTTTGAAGATTTCGTGTAAGAAAAAGAATGTAAAATATCTCAGTAATAAGTATTTTATTTTGATTACATGTTGAAATGATATTTTGGATGTACTATTGAAATAATTTCACCTTTTGTTTGCTTTTTACTTTTTATAATGTGGTCACTGGAAAACTTAAAGTTATGTAGGTGGCTCATAATTGTTGTTTACATTATATTTCTATTGGGCAGCCCCACTCTAGAGACTTACTGTATGTTTTGGGTGCATTCTTTAATATAAAACTTTATCCATCCCCTCCACCTCAAATATATATTAAGGTGCCCAAAACTTTAAATTTTATTTATTTGTGGATTTCAGGTAGAGTATTTTAATGTTTAAGTGTGGAATAAATTCATAGTTAAGTTTAATTGGAGTTGAAACTATAAAGCCATTCAGCTTGATTCCTTTTTACGGCACATAAGATTAGTTTATTGATACCATTCTTGAGGTAATGTCACTAGACATCTCTCTTACATCACCACAAGAATTTACACTATGTATGTTAGAATAGAGCTATTTTGGTGTATTTAATACTCTGTGATGCAGTGTGTGTGTACACGTATGTACTAGCTTCATTAAAATACATCCTCTCAAATCAAGTCATTAGGTTAATGAGGAGAATTAATGAAATGAAGCAAGACCATAGTCAGTTTTTTGTTGTTTTTTTCCTTTGAATATCAATGTGGTTTTGTCATGGCATATTTGGTCAGAAGGAAGGCATAATGGTGACTATTTTAAGCATCTTTGTGGCCAAAGAAAAGGAAAAGTGGTTCTTTTGTACAGTATAGTATCTATAAGGCACAAGTTAATTTTTCAGCTTCTCTGTTACCAAGAAAAAAGAAATTTATCTTGTGAACCCTTATAAAGAGGATCCTATCTGAAAGAGTAGGTTGTATCTTCAGTGACATTCATAAAATAGTTTTAAACAAATGAGTTTCACGAGGCTTTTTTTTCGGTAACATCCTCATATATAAGCTGATGATTTAATACTGAAATATAGTAATGTGACTGTGATAGATCTGATTTGACCCACAGGTAAATTTTATTATCTATAGCACTGATTCTTACTTGTAAATAGTGGAAATTATTTTGAAAGAAAACAAATTAGCCAATTTTGTATTGATTTATTTTTAATTACCACATTTAATTTGTTAAATTTCAAATGAAATTAAGGGAGGGCATGTGTTAAAAAGATGAAAATTTTTGTGTATTTTAAACTACAACTTTTTAAAAAATTTTTTTATTTATTTTTATTTTTATTTTTATTTATTTATTTATTTTTTTGTCTTTTTTACTGACCGGCAATGGATCGCAACCCTCAGTGTCGCGCCCGTACCGGACCAGGACCGGCAATGGGATCGCAAACCTCGGTGTTGCTCCTGCACCTCGCTCAGCCAGTGAGCGGGAACCGGTCTGTATGTGGGATCCGAACCCTCGGCGGGAGCGCCGCCACGCTCCCAAGCGGCGCACTGTAGCAGTGCGCCACCGGGCTGGCCCAAACTACAACTTTTTTGAAAAAGATGAAAAAAAACCTCACACTGCCAAAAAATCATTTTATATCCATATTTTTAGTTCTTGGTCCACAACAACAGTGATTTTTTATCAAACTTTACTATTTTTATTATTTGGAGAAAAAGAGGATTGAAAGATTTTTTTCAAGATAAAATAATACTGTTGAATGTTATCTTTTGAGATATACTACTTAATTCCCTGTTACCCGTATTCCCTCTGAGAGGTTCTGACGGGTTGTCCTGTCTCCCAGGTTAAGAATCACTGATCCATAAAAGAGTATGTTATTGCCCTTTGGAATATTTTTCTCTCACAGCTGGGTTGGACACCCACAGAATTCAAGGTTGTATTCTGAGGGAAAACCTGGAGGTGTAGTTAGAGTCCCTGATTTAAGAGCAGATCTGTTTGTTTTGTCAACCAGAGGCATTGGGTAAATTTAAGCTTTTAAAATAAGAAGTAAGTATATTTAACCAGGACTTTAAGCCAGAAGATACTAACACTAATATTCCTTAACTATGTGCTAAGGCACCATGGGGCACCACAGCAAACTGAGAGGGGTGCCATGAAATATTTTAAAATTTTGAAGATACACTGTGGTACTCGATGTCTAATTGACACTTCACAGTCTACTAGCTTGAAGTGGTTTGTAATTGCAACATATTGGACTACATTGTTTTCAATGATGTCATATCTTTGTGAAGCTGGATTTTTGGACCCTGCTTTGATACAAAGCAAGTAGCACAAGAAAATCAGTGTACAATAAGAAATGAAGGTGACGGTCCAATGTTTGAGAGAGTATGCAGTGCCCAGTGGGCATACACATCCCATTATTAAGTAACAATGTTTATTTAAGAATGAAATAAAATATTTTTCTCTTAATTTGTGTGTGTGTGTGTGTGTGTGTGTGTGTGTTTTCCTCCTTAAGGCTATTAAGTTTTTAACAAGACATAGTACTTACTAAGTTGTTTAGACCTAACTACTTAGTTAACAACACTGCTGGGTATTTCTTTTGGCACTTAAGGGCGCTGTGAACTGAGAAAGTTGTGACCTCTGTGAGAATTTTGTAATGCTCCAGCTCTGGCATTTTGGGGCCCTAGACCAACTTGGAATTAAAAACTTTGTTCTCAGACTTCTGGTGTTTAATTCTTTCAGCACCTTATTATAACTTAATTGAAGAGATGATTTTCTGCTGGTATTTCCTGCAAGCCCATTGAAATTGTTCCCCTCTTCAAATAATTCATTATGTCTGTAAATTTAATGATACTTAAAGAAAGAAGATAAAATACTGGTATCAAATACTGCATTATGTGTAATTTTGTGGCTGTTCACCAAATTTAATACTATAACAACACATCTTAAACCATTTTGGACAACTGTTCTTTTAAAGGCAACTTAAAAAAAAAAAATTCTATCTTAAATGTACCTGTGGAAGGAAAAGTCAAAATAGGCTGTAAAAGAAATGGAATTCAGATACACTTTATTGTTATTAATCATCTATCAAAATGATTTCCTTGGATAGCATTTGACAGCAGTTAAAATGATACCAGGATTGAGAAAAATGTGTATATTTTCTCTTCCCATTTCACTGCACAGCCTTTCAGTTTTTGGTACTTGAGATCTAATGAGAAACAAGATGTTATAATGGAAAAAGCAATAGGAACAGAAGAAAGCTGTGTCTGCGGTGATATCAGAATAGAATTGAAGAGTCAGAGGTTAAGTGTGCTTGATACATAAGGAAGCAAAAAGATTGCCATCTGATTAAGATCATAAACTGTTTTCATTTGCTGTTTAGTATCAGAGCAAAAAAAAAAAAAAGGAAATCATCACCAACAATAATGATTAAAACTGGCAGGTATCTTAAAGGAAACAAACTTCAAATATAATTACAAAATTTTTAAAAAATGGGACAAAATTACTGGGGAAAACTGAAATTTGAAAAATTAATGTTGGTAAAGTCAGAACTCTTTATGCTCAGTCTTGAAATGGCTAGATATCAGTGCCTTAGGAATTCTAAGTAACATAGAACCAATGCAAACTCATTACTGAAACAAGCTTAGAAGGTAGTAAAAGGATGAATGATGTTCTGAAAGCTAGTGAAGGAAATATTCTTGCTATAAAAATAAAATAGGAAATGAAAATCATTGGGAAAGTAGTTAAGGGATTATATAGCTTCAATAAAACCTGTAAAAGAAGTCCTGTTTTTTGTTTTGTTTCTGTTCTTCTTGGCATTCTGTTAATTTAAGTGCAAAGGATCTGCAAAATACTGATAAGGTGAATTATTGTTTGATCCTCAAGTTGAGATATTAGCTAATAAAAAAAGCTAAAAATCTTCAATATATTAAACTAATGAAGAGAGTAACTGATAGATTACCAAAATATATACAACCTTTATTTTTATCTTTGTTATTAGTTCAATTGCAAGAGAGAATAAAGGAGAAGCAGGAAATATTAAATACTTTATGGTCAAACGGAAAATGGACCCATGGTTATAGTAAAAAGTTACTGACGCACAACCTCTAAGAACACATGAGTGAATGCCATCATGACACCTACTTTACAAAGATTTCTGCTCTTATAAGTTACCAGTCTGAGAAGTTCCCAAAAGGTTCTAAATAATTAATTTTTGGCTTTCAGATGCTGATTGCATTTCTATATTTCAAAACTAACTTTCTCTTTCTTATAGGCTGAAAAAGAAAATCCGGGTCTTACACAAGATATCATTATGAAAATTTTAGAGAAAAAAAGTGTAGAAGTTAACTTCACAGAATCCCTTCTTCGTATGGCAGCTGATGATGTAGAAGGTATCAGAGGGAAAAGCCTTGTTTAGTTTTACAATTGTTGAAAAGTATTTCCTCCAAGTCATTATTAGTTGCCAAAAAGTCTTCCTCCCCTATCCTCTCCCTCCCTTCACTCTTCTTGTGACGATAGCGGAAGCAAATCTGTATAGAATGGAAAAGTAATTTTTCTTGCTTTTTATTTTATATTTGTGAGATTTAATTACTTATAGTAAAGCAGTTGCTGATGTTGCAGGCATTACTTTTTTCTTTCATTTATAAGATGTTTGGCAAGTTCTAGTTTTATTAAAATACAAGCTTTGTGGAATGGCTATTTTATTTTATGTTGACTTTAAGGAAACAACAGTTTGGAAGTAAAGAGTTTTTAGTTTGTTTGTTTTTAACTAATGTTATTACTGGACTAAGTTAAACTCTAATGAATTCTGCTTCACAGTCTCATCTTTCCTAATCATCTGGCCTTTCTCCTCCCCTCACCCACCTTTGGCCAACATTGGGAATTCTTAGACTTGAATTTGGCAGAGGTGCATAATATTTTTTATTATGTATTTATTTTATCAGAGTATATGATTGAACGACCAGAGCCAGAATTTCAGGACCTAAATGAAAAGGCACGAGCACTTAAACAAATTCTCAGTAAGATCCCAGATGAGATCAATGATAGAGTGAGGTTTCTGCAGACAATCAAGTAAGTGATTGATTATTTTGGTTCTTTTTTTCTTAAAAGCACTTCAAGAGTACTGCTCATTCTAGATGTTTTTATTTTTGATATGACATTAGTATTAGGTTGAAATATTAATTTGAAATAAAATTAGAAAGTTTTTAATGCTACGTTTTTATTATTATCTTCTAAGCTATGGCATTTAGCTTCAGAGTGCAATAATGTTTTTTAGAATGTTTAATTTTAAAATAATGAATGAAATATGAATAAACTGGAATATAGTTTGAACTACGTAAATAATGGGAAAAAGTCAATGTCAGATTAGAGTGAATAGATTAGATAAATCATAGAGGTTGGTAATGAGATATTTCAGAAATGGCACAAGTCATTAAGATAAGTAATGTACTCTTAGCATTTTTTAATACTGACCAAATCATGAACCTTCAAATCCTTGCCTTTGGGATAGAAACTTAATAAGACTGAAAATATGCTTGTGGCGAGGAGACTGGCTAGTGAGCAGCAGCAGCAGCAGGAGAAGCAAGAAGGGTCATCCTAGAGTGGTGGTTCTTAGTCCTGGGGCATCTTTTTCTGGGTGCAGTGAGGGGTTAGAGGGTGGCAGAATGAAAGGCAAACACAATTTCTAGATAAATATCTTTAACCTAGAATTTTCTTGAGCCTCAGTGGATAAAAAACAAAGAAAGCTGAGGTAATTACAGTGTTACTATCAATGCAACATTTTGGTGAAACCACAGGTAGAAATTGCTAGAAAGGAAAGATTTAGCACATTCTTTTTCTGGAGGTGGCTGCATCGTATGTGGTAACCGAGGAACCCAAGGGGGCTCACTTGAAATACAAGCATTCATCTTTCGGAAATAGTTTTCTTTGTAATTCACATGAGAATTGCTATTTTAGCCAGGTGCTCTGAAGTCTATTACAAGCTGAAAGATTTTATGGGAAAGTTTGGAAAAGAGGTGGGGTGGGGGGACTCCCCATACTGGAGTTGTCTCATTTTCATTGGTGGGTAAAATACAGAAGTTACAACCATTGGTTACAGATTATAGCACATAAGCAAAAAAAAAAAAAAAAATCTACGTGTGGGAAAGTGTCTACATGTAAGCCGATAATTTGGCTAATCTTAAAGATAACTTGGAATTTACATGAATTGTTTGTTTAAGAACAGGATGCCACACCCAAGTCAGGAGGCCCCCCCGCTTCAAGGCAATTGGTATTTTTTAGAGAACCGCTTGTGTAGCTGAGTCAGCTGGGAGTCCTCAGGTACTTATTTTGAGTGGTATAAAGGGAGGAACATGTTCCATTTTAGAAAATAATAGTTTATGATGGGTATCCAACCCATATATCAGGGAATGATCCTCCTCTTGACAATAATTGAGGATCAGGAATATGAAAAATCTATGTCACAAGGGACAAACACTAAGGGTTTTGTATTTTACCTCTATAGGAAAGCCCTAGATTCCTTCACATATTTTTAATATGTGAGGAGGGAAGACAGTCAACTGTTAATGGAATTTTATTTTCAATCTGTTATAGTTAAACATGTTTGGTCCATAAAAGGATAAATTGTCAATGATTCCAAATGTGGATGTTCAGACAGTTTATTTCTAGAGTTTTCAAATAATTTAATGTTTTCATTTGCTTTGATAATCCTATTCATTGATGAACCATGCTACATTGCTATGAAGATCTGACATTTAAAGTATTTTTAGCAGATTTTGCTTCAAATTATTGAAGTATCAGTTTATAGTATCAATGTCTTCTTAATAATAGCAATCACTTATATAAAACTTATAAAGTGCCAAGCCAAGCACTGTTTTAAGTGTTTACCTGTATTAACTTATTACAACAACCCTGTAACAGATGAGGAAATTGAGGTACAGGAAATTAGGTAACTTTACCCAAGGTCACAGAGTCTCCTTCCCAATCATATATATTCATACCGTTGATCTAATCTGGTGATTGAATAAAAAGTTTCTGTTTTTTGAAAGAAGTGTGATAAAGGATGTCTTATATAGAATGCCGGTATGTTTCCTTTCTTGGATAACAGAATTGTGATTACAGCTGGGGTAGAAATGGTTGGCCCAGAGCCCTCATCTTGTTACTTTGACACCCTCTTGCCCTGAGGCATTTCTGCTAAACCCTCTATGACTGTAGGGAGATACGGTTTGAAAACCAAGTTATTAACTGATAATTAACTGATACATTTTAGTCTTAAGGAAGTTGAACTCAAGAGCTTAAGAGTCTTGCTCATAGACATTGACAGAGGCTTTTTTAGGACAAAGTCCTATAGAGGAATAATAATATTTCATTTGTATTTTCTGGAGTGTACTCGGTACAACTGAATTAAGAGTAACGGCAATGAAAATTTATTTCCTAACTATTTTAGGAGAGATCATTTGTCCTGTAAGTTTGTTGATATACATATTATTTCAGAGACTAAAATTCAACCATGTATGAAAAGCATAGATGGCTAAGGTATAATTATTTGTGTAACTGTGATATATAGGTACATTTTGATACACATTGTTAAGTGGCAAATTAGTGGATAAAATTGCACCAAAATAGAAAATGGCTTATCCCTTCAGCACAACATATTGTGCAATTATTATTACTTTTTAAATTATTTAACTTTCTTGTATTTAAGGTAGTTATCCTCTGACCATTTATTTTATCAACATTTTCCAGTAAGCGTATATCAAAGACCTATTCCACCAAGTACTGTAGGTGATGGTATAGGTTGTATTGAAGAAGTGAAAAGATTCCTGCCAGCTAATAAATATTCAGGCAATATTGAATATATTAGTAGACCTATGTTTGAATCTCCATTCTAACATTTTGCTGTGTGTCCTTGGATATAAGCTGCTTAGCTTCTGTCATGCTAGTTTTTGCCTCTGAAAATGAAGATAATTGTGAGAATTGAAAGACATGATTGTATGTACATAAAGTGTCTAGCACAGAACCTAGCATACACTCAAAGCATGTGGTAACATTATGGAAAGAGTTTTCGACCCTTTTTCTCTATGGAGTTGATTAGGAAAAATGATCCAACAAACATTTATTTATTTATTTATTTATTTATTTATTTATTTATTTATTTATTTATTTATTTATTTATTGACTGGTAAGGGGGTCGGCATGGTGTTGTCTGCACCATGCTCAGCCAGTGAGCGCATCGCACCGGCCATTCCTATATAGGATCCGAACGGGCAGCCTCGGCCCTCCCAGCGCCGCACTCTCCCGAGTGAGCCATGGGGCCGGCCCCAACAAACAAATATTTAAAAAGTTCTTTGATTAATGAATGTTTCTGTTTGACCGCATTTGAGTTTATGCAAATTTTTAATAAAATTATTAATTTATAAAATTTATTTGTGTTTTTCTTTAAGTTTGATACATTCCAATTAATGGATTGCTAGGGGCAGACTCGTGATTTAATAGATGAAAAAGCTGTGCATACTGTTTACTCTTTATAATCTGTATTTGCATATTCCTTGGAGGCTAAAATTCACCAGACTTTATTTGTTTCAAGTCAGGAGTTTTAATGATATCTTCAGAATAGATTTGTCTTGAGTTGTCCAGTCTAGACCAAACTAAACATGTAGCACAGGGACTGCCTTCCTTTAGAGTGTTTGCATAAACATGTATCATATAGATTTGGGTTGGCATGATTAGAAACTGTACTTTTCCATAAGTTGTATGTTTATATTTCATCTGATGCCTTTGTCTTTCAGTGTGTTTCCCAAAGTTGCCCTACTAAAGAGCTGCAAATTGCTAAATTCTTTCCCATTCTACTCATACTATCTGTTCCGTTTATTACAGAATTTATCAGTTCCAAACTGCATAATTGCAAGGTAGTTGTTTTACACTCAGGTTTTCCCAGAGTTCTTTTTCTGGTTAATTGACTGAAGTATTTTTTTGATGTTTTCTTTTAGAAAACAAATTCTCAGGTAGTTACTAATATAATTTAGCTTCCTGAGTGCAAACCTTGGTGGCATAAGTGAAAATGCTTTTCTGTACATACGGATAACAAATGTTTGATATATATTGCTGCAAATTGATTTTAGAGAACATTTTTCAACAACTTGGTAGGTAGGTCATTAACAGTCTTTTGCCTAATATCCAAGCACAAGTCCTGGTTAGGGATAAACAGCCTTGATAGATAGAGTTCTAGAGTACTTTATAAAGCTTCTTGCCATTAAGGCATCAAATCTTAGCTCCAGGTTGCTAAACAGCAGTTGTTTCTAAACCTAGTTTATCAGCGGAATCACCGGGGTGGGGGAGTTGTCTGTCTCACCGTCCCTATGCCACCCTTCATTCCCCACCGCCATTGAAGTACAGACAGATTTCTTATGTTTATTAGCAGGTCTGTGGTAAAGTCCAGCAAAACCCTCCCTTCTCCCCTTGCCTTTTTTTTTTCTGCGCCAGGTGAGTTAAGCAACCTGTTTCAGAGCTACTCTTTTGACCTGTAAAATCCAGCTGTTATCACTATATGTTCATCTTGTGATTAGCCCTGAATGTACATTTTTTATTCCCTTTTAGACAGAATATTAAAATTCTACAAAAATGAGACAGTATATAAACAGCTGACTGATCGCTGTATAATTTGCTGTGTTAGATTCCATTTTAAATAGCCCATTGTAGATTTGGAGAACCTTACATATTCAGAGATTGGACATTTTTTATTTGTTGAAATTGTAGTTTTTCTCAGATAATAGGATGGTCATGTGACACCATTTTATTAAACAGTGAATTTATGTTCACCACAGCAATACAGGATTCAACTTGCTTGAAACCATAAATGAAAGGACCAGTTTTATAACTTACGACTGCTGTTACTAAACTACAGGCAAAAAAAAAAAAAAAAAAGGACAGATGGCATATTTATGTAAAATTCATTGTCCTGCTTGAATATGTAATGTTTTAATATTTCAGCCTAATACCACTGTTTGACATATGGGAGATAATAAGTAAGTATATATGGAAATATTTAACAAAAATGTCATTACTATCACAAAAGAGGCTAAAATACCTTTTTTGTACCAAAATACTGTATGCCTATAATTCTTAGATTTCCACATGCTTATTTACTGAAAAATATGCTGGGAAACACACACATGCACACAGAAACCTGGACACTGAGCTTTTTTTTTTTTTTTTCCTGGCTTGAAATAGTAAATCTGAAATGTTTTAGGTATGAAATAACTTCAATCTGACATTTGTGATTAAAAAAATCAATAATAAAAGCTTATGTTTGGATTGGTCTAGGTTTATGTCTTATTAATTCACACCTTCACTCATTGCATTTGAAGAGCAAAAGTTTTTGTAGTGACTAACAGCTAAGAGAATGGATGTGAAAAAGAGAAGACTTCCTTTACAGAATGTGAGGTTATTTGATAATGCAAAATTAAAGTTCAGTTTGACAGAAAAAAAAATTGCTGTGAAGTCAGAATGTGGAAATTGAAAAGGGCATAGATATAAAAGACAAAGGTTTGGAAAAAATGGTGCATGGATAGAAAGAATAGTCAGCTCAAATGAGAGTTATTGATTTCTTCTCTTTCTTTCTTTAGAAATGGGAGAAAGGTGTTGATGCATGTAGTCAAAGAATGATTGCTGGAAAGGTTAAGGTAGAAGAATATTCTGCTGTTGTCTCTTGCAGTAATTTAAATATGTTTTCCGAAGGAAATAGTGACAGCAAAGGTTTGGAAGGGGAGAATATTCAGTTGCTAGATGGATGGTAAATGTGTCTAAGAGAGAAGAGGAGGAGGAAGTATTTTAAACATTAAAACTACTGGTTATATAACAGGAAATGTTAAATACAGAAATGAGTTTCATGTAATGCAAAATTTCATAAAATTGTTTATTAACAAACTGTAATTGTTCAAATAACAAAAGTGAAGAATATGGTAGCTTGGATTCAGCTAGCCAGAGAAAAGAAAAATTGAAAACTGGAAAAGAGAGACAGGCATAGGTATATTTTACCTTCTTACAAATCTGAATAATCAATGCTGAATGAAATGTTACTGATTTCGGGAAGTTGTCATTAGTTGGCAGTGTTTGATCAGCAGTGCAAGAGAATCAGGATCACAGTGCAAGAGAATCAGGATCACATTTTTTCCAAAAATAGCCAAAATTAATAGTAATTTGAAGCTATATGAATAGTTAGTTTTAAATTGTCATGAGTGTTAATATTCTATACACTCCTTAAATATGTACAGTTTTGTTTCACCATAGAGAAGTTTTAAGGAATTATGTATCAAGTGTTCATGTTAAGTGAAACCCCTACTCCAACTACTTAGCCAAACGTTTGCCCTTAAAGTGTATGTATGGTAATTAAGTGTACTGTGATTAGTAATTCTTAAAATATATATGTGCAAATTTCTTTCAAATGTAGCTGATTTTAAAGATTCTTTTCTCTTTTCCCAACAGGGATATAGCTAGTGCAATAAAAGAACTTCTTGATACAGTGAATAATGTTTTTAAGAAATATCAATACCAGAACCGCAGGGTAAGTTTAGTGAAAGCCTGGCTAGTTACCACCCTAGATGTTGGTTAACACCTAGTTTTATTAATATAAATACTGAGAGGGTTTGATTATTGGAAATAGTTTTGTGTCTTTAACCATTGGATTTGTCCTTGAATTTAAATGTGGTATTTTATGCGTTTAAGTAAATACTCCTAAAAATACTTTTCTGTAATATAAAGTGCATCCCATATTTTGCGTAATTTTCCATCTTTGACTTTGGCTTTTGTGTTATTTGTCTTACTGGTTTGTTGTTTTTTTTTTTTTCCTTCTTATTTTTCTTTTTATGTCTGTAGGCACTTGAACACCAAAAGAAAGAATTTGTAAAGTACTCCAAAAGTTTCAGTGATACCCTGAAAACATATTTTAAAGATGGCAAGTAAGTACTGTTGTTTATCCTTTTCTTTTAATTTATATGGTTTTATATGATACTAAAATTGTATAAGTTAAACCCTTTTACTATATTGTTAATATTCAAGGCAACTGCTCATGAAGTCAGACTGCTAAAAATAGAAGATGAACGGTGGTCAATTCCACCATAATATTGTAGAGCAGGACTTGTCAGATCTTTTCTGAAAAGGGCCAGATGGTAAATATTTTAGATTTGGTGGGCCTGTGGAAACTATCTACCTCACCTCTGCTGTTGTAGTGCATAAGCAGCCATAGACAATGTGGAAATGAGTGGTTGTGGCTGTGTTCTAATAAAACTTTATTTATAGATACTAATTTGAATTTTGTAAATTTTCACCTGTCACATAATACCCTTTTGATTTTTTTTTTTTTTTTTAAACTATTTAAAAATGTGAAAGCATTTTTAGCTTACTGGTCTACTTTACTGACCCTTAAATCAATGGTTCTTAAACTTAGGTAGCATCAGAATCACTTGAATGGCTTGTTAAAACACAAATCGCAAATTGTTTGAGGGGCCACATCCCCGGAATTTCTTATTCAGGAGGTCTTGTGTAGGGCCCAAGAATTTGCATTTCTAAGAAATTTTCAGGTGATACTGAAGCTACAGATCTGTTGAGAACTACTGCACTAAGGTTAAAGCAATGGTCTCAATCCTGTCTGCATATTTGAATCAGTTGGGGTCAGTTTTAAAAATCCCCACTGCTTAGGCCCCATCTTGAGAGATTCTGATTCCATTGACCTGTAGTGGGGCCAGGACTTAGAAGTTTTATAAAAGTGACCCATGTGATTTTAAAGTGCTACAACGGTTTTGATCCACTGTCCCAGAAGAAGGGAGGCTTAAATTGTCTTTCAGTGTCATCATTCTATAAAATAGGAAGTATACTAAAAGTACAAATTGGACATTATTTTTAAGTTTACATATAATTGATTGTAGAGCACTATAGAAAACCAAGATATTTTGTTTTTACACACATACAACACACTGATGCAGAAGCCATGTCTTTTGCAGTATTTGTATCATTTACATAGTTCTTTGTACTTCATGTAGAATGCCAAGAATTTGGGGGACAGGACCATTTTCTAACAATGCTTCAAGTCAGAAAAATAATCTATATAGAGGCCTCAAACATCCTATCCTACCACTGAATTAAAGATATTGAGCAAAATTTTATTAATGGTTTTGTGTTGTTGCATACTACTCTTCAGGTTGCTTAGGGAAGATGCTCGATGATGACTTAGTTTAATAAGCTAGCAGTTGTGTTTTGAGAATAAACTTGTCTCCATTTCCTTGGTCCTCTGTGCTAAGCCCATATAACCAAAAACACATTAAAAGAATAATTTACATGATGGGATCATTATTTCTTGTTCTAACTAATTAAGAACCATTGTGGAATGATCACAATGAAAGGTAGAAATTAATTTAGAGCCTAAGTTTTATTAATCTGAAATTATTAACTGTGTATGGATTATTCAGCCTTCCTGCTGCTACTTTTTCATTTGGCAGCTTTTTAAAATTTCACCACTTTGTGTGTGAATAATGTGCCATGAGTTGCATTATCTGTTTCCTCAAAACGTAAAATTATTAATAGTGCCTGATCTTTAAGTCATCTTTCAGTAGAGGGATGAATTTTCATTCATTCAACTGGTCCCTCTTTTTTTGAGAAATGTCTAAGATGAAGAAAGAAGCTCTAGCTGTGATACTAAGAATCTGATAAGGCCACACATGGGACTGGGGCATCAGCTCTGTGTTCCAGTCACATGAAGATAGCCATTAGGAGAACGTGGTGGAGCACAGAGCAATTTTTAAGAACGTATTTCTGTATACTGTCAGCTCCCAGATATTGAAACTGCATGATTATTTTGTTTTAAAAGCAGATTAATTCTAAAAGTAGTTTAGAATTCTCACTTTTTTTCTTTTAAGTTTTTATTATTCCCATTGATATGCATATTTTGAGACTGTGTATAATACTTTACCAGATTGTATTTGTTAACTTCTGTGAAACCACTACTGGAAAGCACATTCGAATCCTCCTCTTTGGCCAGTTATTTGTTCAACCTATGAATGAACTGTGGTTGTTAAGGTGCCACCTATCCTGAGCAGCCCTCCAACACCTCTTTGCCATCCTAAACCACCAGGGGGCAGTATTCGTAGATAGTTTCAGATGATGCAGGGCCTTTAAATCCCGAACTGGAATAAAAGTTGTAATGCCAACTTGTCTTTTTTTTTTTTTAATGAATTGATTTTACTGCTACTGTTAATAGATAACATTAAGTATAAATATCCTAAAAAGAGTGATATTTTTGGGTGAAATTAATGCTCATTCTTTTCTTTTTAAACAGGGCAATAAATGTGTTCATAAGTGCCAACCGACTAATTCATCAAACCAACTTGATACTTCAGACCTTCAAAACTGTGGCCTGAAAGTTGTATATGTTAAAAGATGTACTTCTCAGTGGCAGTACTGAACTGCCTTTATCTGTAAATTTTAAAGTTTGACTGTATAAATTATCAGTCCCTCCTGAAGGGATCTAATCCAGGATGTTGAATGGGATTATTGCCATCTTACACCATATTTTTGTAAAATGTAGCTTAATCATAATCTCACACTGAAGATTTTGCATCACTTTTGCTATTATCATTCTTTTAAGAATTATAAGCCAAAAGAATTTACGCCTTAATGTGTCATTATATAACATTCCTTAAAAGAATTGTAAATATTGGTGTTTGTTTCTGACATTTTAACTTGAAAGCGATATGCTGCAAGATAATGTATTTAACAATATTTGGTGGCAAATATTCAATAAATAGTTTACATCTGTTAAACATTTCTTTACTTGAAAAAATGCATATATATATGTCTGTGTATATATATGATCAGAAGACCAAGACAACTTGGTGTAACGACTGAAGAATTTCTAACGGGAGCTTACTAGCAGTTTATCAAATAATAAAACAACAAAGAATTCCTATTTTTGGTTCTTAATCACTTTGGGCAAAACGTAGCCAATGAAAATATTTTTCTTAGTTATTACATATAGGGTACTGACTATTTTTCCATTATTTCCAACCTGTTTTAAGAGACTTATGAGAAAGAGATGGCAATTTATTGTGTCTTCACACTATATTGCCACTTTTTGAACTCTGTGTTAACGTAGATTTGAGTCTGTGAAATTAAGTCTTTTTGGTATGCTGAGCCCTAATAAGCTTTGCACATTTTTTCCAAAAATAGCCAAAATTAATAGTAATTTGAAGCTATATGAATAGTTAGTTTTAAATTGTCATGAGTGTTAATATTCTATACACTCCTTAAATATGTACAGTTTTGTTTCACCATAGAGAAGTTTTAAGGAATTATGTATCAAGTATTCATGTTAAGTGATTTCATTTTTCAATTGTGATAAAATAAAGGAAAACTAGAATTTGTTTATTTTTTTATAAAGATTTTAAATGTTGAACTAAGTTTCTGGTTAGCAATATGATTTTTTTTTTTTTTTGCTGTAATACAATTTATTTTTTTCCTCCATTTTTAAAAATAGATTTTAAAGGAATTAAACAGTTGACAGCATATAAGTGAATCATCCTGTTAAATGTAACAGGAAAATAATGTAGAAAGAACCAAAAAAACAGTGGACAGTTGGATGAAATCTCATAACTGATGGACATTTACCAGTAAAACAACTAGAATTAGTGATGTTTACTATTTATTTTTAACATAAACTGTCATTCACTCTTGGAAGTAGGTGGATGATCATTTGTGGAATAGACTTGTGGATATATGAAGAAAAAAGATACTGTGTTATTTGCAGTGGACTTTTGTAACATAAACCAAATATTACCATCATCCCTCCTCTTGTCTTTACTCTCCTTAACAGAACTCACCAGTTACCAGGCATACCCCAAATCACCTGTTTTTATAAGCCTTCTGTCTTTCCTTTCTCCTATCCAATATCTCTGGCTTCTGTTTTTATGAAGTATACTTCCAGAAAGGAGGCTCATTGTCAGAATATTTCAGTTTATTACATAATTTTTCTAGCAGGACAGAGATTAAGTCAATGTGGAAAAGGTCAATGTGGCCCCGTCAGATAAATCTCCAGAGAACAGAAAATGGGCTCCAGAGGAAAGGAAGAGGAGACATTTGTTGAGCATCTCCTGTGTCAAACACTATTCTAGATACATTTACTTAATTTAAATCTTAACACTCCTGGGATTCAGCTATCTATCTGCCTTGCAAGTAAGGAAACTGAGCGTGCTTAGGTCACACAGCTGGTAACTGCTGGGCCAGGGTTTGAATGCATTTGTCTCCAGACTCCATCTTCTTTTCACTGAGATGTGCTCCCTCCATTGCTGAAAGTACACTTTGTTTACACTAGTCTCAAAAACTGATGTGACAAACCTCTCCCTGGTCCACAGGAAAAAGGAAAATTAGAAAAATGTGATGTTGTTTTCATAAATCTAAATTTTATTTTAAAGGATCATTATTAGAGATTATTTGAATGTTTAAAATACCCCTTCCATGTGCTGTTTTATTTTTAAGAAAATGCAATAATAGTAAGTGGTAGTTTTTTAAAAAGTTGCATTTTAGTATTATTAGGCAAAACGAGGTTGGCAACCCAATATCAGTCCCTTTTAATTGTTTTCTTAACTTTTTATATGGAAATAATTTCAAACTTACAGAAAATTTGCAAAAATAAGAATGCTACAAAGAACATCCCTATACCTTTTTACCCAGATTCATCTACTATTAAAATTTCACCCTCTGTTTTATCATTTGCTTGTTCATTTGCCCTCCCTTAAGCCTCCTCTACTCTGGATTATTTCCATGGCTACCTTTGTTTTTTACAGCATTGATGTGTTTTGGAAGAATACAGTCCTCTTCCCCGCTGCCTCCTTTAATGGAATGTTCCTTGTTTTGGGTCCCCTCATGAGTAGATTCACGTTGTGCATTCTTGCCAGAATACTATACTGGTGGTACTGTGTCATCAGGATGATATCTGGGGTTACACAATGTCCATCTTCACATTGGTGATGTTAATTTTGGTCAACTGGCTAAGGTGATGTTCAGTTTCTGCTATGTATAGTTACTATTTTTTACCTTGCAACGAACTATTAAGCAATCTGAGAGACTTTTAAGTCCATGCTAACAACATTTCTTCATTTCCCCCCAGGATTTAGTATTTGTGGATGATTCTTGTTTATGTAGTCTTTGCTTTGGTATTTGCAAGATGGTGGTTTTCCAACTCCAGCATTCCTTCCATATGTACCAATTGGCGATCAGCATTTTTCTGCAAGCAGAAGCTCTCCTTTCTCCCCAATCCGCTGATCCATCCATCCATTCATCCATGTATCTATCCACCTAAATGTTTGTGTCTTGTTGTTGAGACTCACGGTTTTCTTGTTTCCCCCGCCCCCCCATTCCCCGCCCCGTGGTTTGTAATTCATTACTTACTTTGGTGTTTTCCCCTCTGTGTATCTTTTTTATGAAAGGAAATAATAAATGTATGTTTTCTTTTTTCCCCTTCTTACTCAAAATGTAGCATACATGGGGGCCGGCCCGGTGGCGTACTGCTACAGTGCGCTGCTTGGGAAGCGCAGCGGCGCTCCCGCCGAGGGTTCGGATCCCACATACAGACCGGCCGCTCACTGGCTGAGCGAGGAGCGGGGG